TCATTAAATTCGAAATCGCATGGCTATGGTGGTATAGTGTGAGATGATTAGCTGCTCTCCTGGGAGCAATTTGGGGGAATGAAGATGAACCCCAAGTGTTGGATAGAAATTCAAAGCTAGCTTCAGGTCTTTAGAGACGGATTTCCACGCTTCGTGATCAGTGGACCCGTACTCCAAATTCTCTGAACATTTACTTTGGGATTGCACAGTTGCAGATGAAAGATGTGCAAATTTCAGAGGTATAGGCGTTTCCATCGCGCGGGGAGCCCTGGGAAAGCTTTAGCTCAAGGATCACCTTGCCTGCGTACCCGGACGAAAGCGATAGCAAAGAGTAGGAGCACGTTACAACGTTGGATGGAGGACGGTCACAGTTATGATGAGCGCAACAAGGAGCCACGATGATATGACGGTTCTGTGGGATAGAGAAATTGTTCAATTGGTAACTAGCCAACTGTAAATATATCTCAGTCTTCGACGCGGCATCCTACTTTTATCGGTGGGGGGTTAAGCCTGAGCACCGCGGCCGCTATCTCACACAGAGGCCAGGAAATATTCAACGTAGCCATAATGGGCTACACGAACTTTGTACAAGATGTCGTATATAGAAAAGGAGACTAGTCCTTCTACGCCTCTAGTACTAGTCAGGATACGGCGGACTATTTGTGCCATCGGGTCAAAATTCATTTTCATTATGAGGGACATTCAATGATATCAACAATCAACTGCTTTGCTTATTCCAAAATTACCATTCCAGCGCCTAGTGAAGGATATTATGCATAGCAACAGTATTAGAGCGGGTTTTAGAATCCAAGATTTAACTTTACTAGCATTGCAAGAAGCTACCGAAGCCTTCCTTGTTAATGAGTTTGAAAGTAAGTATAGCTTTCTTAATATTTATAGACTTACTAGATACTAATATTATTAAAATTAATATAGTGGCTAGCCTTATAGCGATTTATACCTGCCGTGTTACTATTTAGTAAAAGGATTATTTAGTAAAAGGATATGTAGTTTATACAAAAGAATTAAGGAGTATATACTTAGACATGCTCCAGGCCCTCTTATAGGTAAAAAATAACTTAGATTAATCAAATTCTCCTGATTCTCGAAATATAGTTTGTTTTGATTGGTTGCGTGGCATTTATTATTAGTTAACTACAAAGTCAAAACGAATTTTGACCTTAATAACTACGTAGGAAAAACAAGAACGGAGGGTAAAGAGTATTCGTAACAAGATCTTACGATTCCATGAGGTCGTCCGACTCCTCTTCGCTCCCACAAGGGGTACATTCTTATTGCAATCTCAATTCTCCGTCAAGTTCAAATAAAAAAAAAAAAAAAAAAAAAAAAAAAAAAAAAGAGTTTCTCAGCAGTTGATATGTATAAATCTGTGTCTGTCTATTACCACATTGATAAAATTATACATTTATGATTGGATGTAGGAATACTAATACCCGTTCAGTAGGCGTATGTAAGCACCTCGGTCATCTTTCACTCGATGTAACCATGCTTGTAGGTATAATACATATATAGAGGTTATAGTAGGACTAAGATCGTAGCAACAATCTTCAATCGATCCATCTCTGGCCGGCCTTATCAAAGCCAATGACTTTGAGATCGACATTCAGGCCTTTAAGCATCATGTCAATGGTAAAAGTCTAGATAATCCACCAGTCAGAATCAATTTTAACAGCAATCTACCACAAAGGGGGCCGCTCACCTCATCGTCATTCTCACTCTCTTCCTCATCCTCTAGCTCGTCTTCGTCCTTCTCCTGAAAACTAATCATCTCCTCCAACTCAGCCTTTCTCCTCTCCTTCTCTCTCTCAATATCACTCCCAAGCTCTTCATCATCGTCATTCTCATCCTGGTTGTCGTCCCACCCTCCCCACTCCTGCTGCCTCACCTTTCTCTTTCGGATCCTCTCGTTGTAGACTCTCACCCCACCCATACGGTTCACTTTGTCCTTTGCACTGACAAACAGGTCCTCGGCCGCGTCCCGGCTTACGGTTCGCCATTTCTGTTTAAGTATCTCGAGCTCGCCTAGCTTTCCTTTCTCCAGGATGTTTATTGCTTGGTCGAGGATATCTAGTTCTTCGCGTTGGCGAGCAAGGCGGAGCTGTAAACTACTCATCTCTCGTTGGAGGAAGGAAATGCGGGCTTTGGGAGTTGTAGATGATGAGGTATGTGCGTCCTGAAAAGGTGTCTGTCCAGCGAGAGGAGTTTGGGCAGCAGGCGAGGACTTCCATTTTATGGTGCTATTGATGAATAACCTTTGATTGGAGGAATCGGTTGATAGAGACTGCGAGAATTCAACAGGTCCTGCATCGGGTCCTTTGCGGAGGGGTGACTTGAAAGGCTTCTTCAGGGTATGCGAGCCATCACCGAGTCCTCGTTTCTTAGGCAGGGTCAGTTTGAACTCCATTGTGTCTGATTCAGCGTATAGACTAGAATCATTTCGTGGTATTGTAGGCAAACGTGGGTTGTTGTTTGGCATGAATATTTCGAGAGCAAATGCAGGAGATGAAGTCGACGTCTGTATTTCCTCTTTGGGCGATTACTAAGGCGACGTAGAGGGTTCTGTACAAACCGTCCAATTCAATGTAAACAAAGCTAGGCACTCGCAGGCAAATAAGATCAAACACCTATTGTTCAAGTAACAAATAGTGTAAATTCTCCAGGTGATGCATGCTAATAATAACAGAAAGAATAAAACGGGTATATGCGTAAAACAAGTGAAGTGGCACAACAATCTACTACCGTCCAAGTCCTCCAGCAACCCACGCTGCAAAGTTGGGGTCATCCGGTCGTGGGAAGAAGCCCCTATCTTCTGCCGCATTTCCAGCACCATCAGCTCCTTGGTTTTGTTGCTGATTATTGGCGTTGTTTGCTTCTTGGGCACGACGAGCCGCCCGCTGCTGGCGGAAGTGCAAAAGAAGCACTAGAGTAGCAACAAGGCCAATTATGATAAGACTCTCTAGGATACCGTCATCAAAATCAAGGGCGTCCTCGTCATAGTAATTGAGATCTTGGTCTTGAGCATGCGCATGTCCGGCCTCATCTAAGATGGCATCAGGATCCGCGGCAGCTTGTTGGCGGAGTGCTCTCTGGTATGCTTCTTCCTCTTCGTTATAGTTGATAAAGTGTGAGATCCACTCCTTAAATGTCCGTGGGGTATTTACATCTAGTACTCATTAGCCATGCCCAGTGACTATTGGGAAATGGAAGTAGAATCATACCTGGTTCTGCATTGATTGTATTGGCCTTCCCTCGTATCACCTTATTCCAGAAATTCCTAGCACGCAGTCGAAGAAGGCTGAGTGTGACCGGGAAATATGCCTCTTGGTTCGTTTCCAAGGCAAGGTCATAATACCGCTTGGCCATGGGGAAGTCCTGCTCAACATGAAGGCCGTTCTCATACATCCAGCCAAGATTCCAAAATGCTTGGGCACTGTGGCCTTCAGCTGCGGAATGATAGCAGGTGAGCGCTCTAGAAACGTCTTTCTTTGTGCCATAGCCTTCAAAGTAGTAATCTCCTAGTTTCACCATTGAGTCTATATTGGCTTGTTTAGCAGAGCGGGCCCAGTATATGAACCCCAACGCTGCGTTACGCAATAAGGACGAACGACCACCCCTTATCCATGGAAGAATCGGATCAAGGGATAAAACAGATCGTTTCTCGTCGAGAAGGTATGCAACATTTGCTTGAGCGCTCTCATACCCTTGTTCGGCTGCCATAGTGGAGATAATCATAGCTAGCTCCTTGTCTCCAATCTCATAGGCATCATTCGCTTCGGCAAAAGCGGAGTGAATGCCTTCGGCCTTTTCGGAGACTATCTTGTAGTACGCTGTGGCAACTCCACAATGGCGCTGTCCGCCAAGGCCCCGGTCTGCAATTCCAGCGAGGTAATAGAGGGCTTCCATACCCCCATGCCTAGCAGCTGCTTCGAAATATATCGAGGCTGTGACAACGTCACCCTGATCAAGAAACAGCGCTCCAAGCCGCGTTTTGGAGTAGTAATTGTCCTGTTCCGCAGCAGCTTTAAAGTATGAAGCGGCCTTCATTACATCCTGTTCGACGCCATAGCCATGCAAGTACATCAGCCCTAGATAATGCTGGCACATTGCATCGCCGTTTGCTCTTCCTCGTGTAAACCAGACTTTGGCCTTTTGGAAATTCTGCTCTGTGCCCTCTCCACGAAGGAACATCAGGCCAATATGGGCGGCGGACTGAGCAGCGATCTTGTCAATGCCTGGTGGGTGGCTTGGGTTGATAGAGCCGTCCTTGGTCCAGTATTTCCTTGCAACTACCACGAAATACATCATGGCCTTCTTGTAGCTCCTTTCCAGCTGGCGTGATCCTTCATAATAGAGCTTCCCAAGGCCAAAGGTAGCTTTAGTATCACCTTTCTTAGCCATGAGATCAAGATACTCCAGCACATCATCCAGGCTCGCATCGGCACTGGAATGGACATCCCTCATCGCGTTGTAACCAGCACTAGACACACTGGCTCCCTCACCATACACGCCACCTTCCTCATCAGCCCAACGGAAGGCCTCTCGACGCCAATTAATGCCGCCGGGTGGACCGGATCTATACCATGCAATCGCCTTATCGGCCACCTTCTTGTACCAATATACCGCTTGATCGCAATCCGGAGCAGCTCCAATTCCTATGTATCTTCGGTATGCCAGCGTCATCTGTGACCTAGTATTGCCACCCCTGGCAGCAAACGTGTGGTACAGAAGCGCCTTGCCCTGATCTCGTTCCACAACCCCGCCGATTCCAGTTGCATACATGAACCCGAGCATGTATTGCGCAGTACTGTTTCCAGTCAAGGTCGCCAACGCATCGTAATATCGGAAGGCCTTTGAAAAGTCGCGTGGGTGGGTATAATTTCCGTAAAAATTCATTTCGGCAAGGAGAAATGTAGCATCTGAATTATTCTTACGGGCAGCCCCCTCCAGTAGCCGGACTGCTTCCACCAGTTTCCCATTTTTCTTGGTAAATCGACTTGATGACAACTGATCCGATGACGGTGCATTCATAAACAAAAGGTAAAACAGCTCACGGCCGTAGTAGCTCGCATGACCAAAGATGCCAGACGGACGTTCGTATTTCTTGGTAGGGACTTTTATCTTGCGGAGGATGTTCAATGCCGTTTCGACAACTGGTTGATCTGCAAGAGACTGCTCAGCTAAAGCTCTATATCCGTAATTCTTCCAATAAAGTACAAAGGTGTTCCTTAATTACCGATAGAGTACTCGCGAGCATTGTTGCCTCCCGCTCTAGCCACTGGGTTCTCAACATCGAGTGAGCCTGGGAGTGGTAGGTCCGTCGGGTTAGATTCTCGGTTTGTGAGGTCCTCCCGTAAATTTCGAGCTCCGGCCGTTATGGCCTGTAAGCACAGCACTGTGAGTACGACCAAATCGTTAGCATCTTAAGCAAGACCGGAGTGGTGCGATGTATGAAGCTAACCTAACGCGAGGACGGCCAAACAGTGCCATCTCCAAGACAAGATCATCGTATCTAAAGGAAGGGTCGGTCAAGGGCTGTAAATCATCGCGATTGTATGTCTGCAATCGCTATTCTATATTCACTGGCGTGGTCACTGTAGAAGAACAAACAGAGTGCTCGGGATCCAAGAAAGCATTTGATAGCCTCAAAGTGGCCAGATAGCGCAAACAACAGGCCCCAATATAATTAACCACGCTAGTCACTTTAGGTGCTTACTAATAACATTAGTCACTAAGATTGCTGCATGATATCTTTTCTCGAAGGCTCGAGGGAACGACACGTGATATAAGCTTTAAAAATACTTTAACTAGAATTAATTTCTAGATATAAATTCTAATATATATACAGACTACTTATTCTAATTATAATTGCTGTGTTTTAATATACGAGCTATACTTCTGTTTGCCATTATCTATCCAATTAATCGAGGGTTGATGTAAGGATGGTACAGGTTGGCTGTGGTAGATATGCCTTCATTGATGTAGTTGATGATGTAGGTAAGACGTTGTAGTGTATCGTAGTCGAACTGGTCGTGACCAACTGTGTTGCCAACAGCAGACGTCGTGAATTGTCATCGTTGGTCATGAGGCTGTAGCGAAGTAAGAAGGAAGATAAAAGATGACAGCGGAAGCAACGAAAAGCGTTATGACGCAGTGTAGAAGTTATGACGCAGCGAAGTAGGGTGGTCGTTATGATGTAAAGAAGAGAAGTTAACGGAGGGTGCAGATACCAGCAACCCGTTACCTGAAGAACACCGGCGACGACGCGGACACCCAGCTGTTGTGCCGTTGTTAGATGGTTGTTGAGCAGCGTAAACGCAAACGAGCTAAGTCCCGCGGGCGTTTAAATCGCAAAAGACATGCTACCAATCTGTACCATGCTTACATTTGGTAGCAGTTGGGTTGGTAGTATACATACCGAGGCGCTACCGGAAGTTATATGCTCTATATCCGCGTAATAGAGGCTTACAATCACTATTTCTCTTGTGATATAGCCAACGGCGTCCTAGATATAGCCATACTCCAGAAGTTCAAGTGCACTGGGGCGTAGCTCTGGAACAGGATTGAGGGCGACATGGACTGTCTCAATATCCTTTTCTGGGATATCCTTATTAATAAGCTTTATTACCCAATGATCAAGCTCAGTCCTCGTTTTATCCCTTTTTGGTAGTAGTTGTCGCGTATCTAGATCTGAGTTATAATACTCAATCGTATGAAGATCAAACTCTTGAGCCATAGCTGCCCGAATAGTATTCTCCTTATCTATTAATGTCCCTTCAACCTTTAATGAGTCAAATATCCCAGGTTCTTCGAAATTAATATAGGCTTGAAGTAGATGTAGATACTATAAAATATATTAATATAGTCCACCATAAAAGTTATAGGTATAAAAGGACATACCACTATACCCCAAGACCATATATCTGTTGCAGTTGTCCAGGGTTTCTTAAAGTATACCTCGGGACTGCGATATGTAATTGCAGATATAGGGCCCTGGGAAGGAGGTTGCACTAGTTCTTAGTTAGTTAACCATTTATAATAGTAAGATAAGATAGTAATAATATACTCATCCCAAGATCAGCAATCTTAGTCACCAAATGTTCACCGGAGCCTGGAGTCTCATTATCGAACCCATTAATAAGGATATTCTCCATCTTCAAGTCTAGTATATATTTAGCATCTATTAATAAAGGCCCGTTCTAGGTAACAAACCTGTATACACAATATTATTGTGATGTATAGTACTCAGTCCAATCGCAATAGATCTCATAACAGATCGAATCTCCCCTAAAGAAAAAGGACGCCGTAATCGTGCGGTCCATAGCGACTTCTCGAATGCCTCAAGAACCATGATTGGCGGCTCCGTATCAGAAGGAGGCGGAATGACATCAACCATCCGACGGATGTAACCAGATTTATACAATAGCTTCTGCATTTCCATCTCCCGAGTGAAGTCAGGCCACCCGGGGCCATCTTCATCTTCTGGTTTCTTGAGGACAAATTGGTGCATTGGGTCATCGTGCTTTGTAGCGCTCCAGACATTACACTGTTTCCCTTTGCGTTGAACGAGCGGATCAAGCAAAACGTAGCGTTGACCGCGTTTACCGACCAACATCGAGCCTCGAGTTAACACACGGAGAGGGGGCGGCATAATATCGCGAATATTTCGTAGCTATCAAGCACTGTGTCTTTATGTTGGGCCAGCAGTCGCTGTAACTACTCTGCTGAGGTCCCGAGTAATTTGAAGACCGAACTAGCCTAAAAAGGATAAGTTCGTCTAAGCGTCCCATGGACCCACCCTGGACGCCTCGCCAGCACGTGACTGGTCGGCACCATGGGAAGAAAGCTATATATAATTGATGAAATGCCCATTTTAGTTTAACTTGATCAAAACAGTGCATTCCATACTGACACTGCTCATTCCCCTTTCTCCATTCGACCATCTCTTTCTGTATCTAAGCTCTATTGAAGCTACCAATCTCGCCTAACTCTCACAATGGCTAAGAAAGACGCTGGACTTCGCTTTCTACGGACAAACTTCTTCCCAAACCCCAAGAGTGAAGCTTAACCAAGATAGATTAAAGTGTAATTTGGCTGTGTTTTTATTTTTAGTAGATTATGATTTGTTAGTGAGGTGATAGTGTTCGTTGATTGGTGGAATATTCAGCCGAGGCTTAAAAATCACGTGGTGCTGTCTGGGCCCGGGAACCTCAATATCAAAAGGGATTTCTCCTTTTGTCGCGACCTCGACATTGGATGTTATATCTTTATTACTATGAACACGGGATATCTCTTGACAAGAAGTCCCTGTGTTGCACAAGTCCGGATGCAGAAGAATTATCCAAGAGCCAGCAGCAGGATTCATTATTCTCCTGCACTTTTCCGAAGATCCCTACTTATTTTGACCAGGATGGTGCCGAAGGATCGTCCGCTACGGACGAACACTTGGCCTTCAGCGTTTCGAGGCTGTTGATAGATGGAGATGCGCTCCGACTCCCTATATCTATCCAATGAACATCTCCTCAGCCATTATGACGCTCCTCCGCATCGCTATGGGCGGAGTTAAGCCCAGTTATTCGATCATCTCAAGGCTCCCCTCAAGCAATGCGTAGATCAGACGCGAGTACAGTGCTGCCTGCTTAAGTCCGGGACGGGAGCAACCCCACTACAAGGCCCCGCGTTATGGAACGGTGTAAACGCTGCTACGAAGCTCTGGCCCGCCGCTCATACGTATAAAAGGGGCGCTGTCATCCCCAGTTGACAGATTGATGTTTCTTCAGGTAGCATACCAAAAGCTCATTGAATAATACCAACACAACATGGCGGCCAAGCTTGATTTTACCACCTTTCGCAACGTCATTAATGGCAAATTGACCTCCGCGGCAGTAACTCGCCATAGCTTTAACCCTTCCACTGGCGAGCCGAATCCTCAGGTCCCAATCTCAACCGCTGAAGATGTAGACGCTGCCGTGGCTGCTGCCCAGGAGGCGTTCAAGTCATGGTCCAAGACTTCCCACGAAGAGAGAGCAAAGGCTGTTCTTGGTCTTGCAGATGCCATCGAGGCGCATGCAGAGCAGTTCTTGGACCTTACTATTCGTGAGCAAGGGAAGCCGGTAAGTATATCGCTATTTTCAGCGAACGGGCATTATGTATGGCAAATATTGTATATTCAGGCTAACCACCAGTAAACAGAAACTAATCGCAGGTTTCGAGATTCAAGCAGCTGTCGCAAACCTTCGTGCCAATTCCAAGCTTGAGTTGAAGCCAACTGTCCTCGAAGACACCGAAGAAAAGAAGGTCATCCAGCGCTTCACACCTTTGGGTGTCGCTGTTGGAATTGTTCCTTGGAACTTTCCCTTGATGATTGCTTGCCAAAAAATCGGCCCTGCTGTCATGTCCGGATGCACCACTATCATTAAACCGTCACCTTACAGCCCTTACACAGATCTCAAAGTTGTTGAGCTTGCCCAGCAATTCTTCCCGCCTGGTGTCGTTCAAGTTCTTAGCGGTGATGACACACTAGGACCTATGTTGACGGAGCATCCTGGCCCAGCAAAGATCAGCTTCACCGGATCATCCTTCACAGGAAAGAAGGTGATGGCAAGTGCCAGCAAGACTTTGAAGAGAGTCACTCTAGAGCTGTAAGCTATTTCATCCCGCATAATATCTGCCTACGGATGTTGATGTTTCAAAAAGTGGTGGAAACGACCCAGCCATCATCTGTGAAGATGTGGACTTTGAGAAAGCTATTCCAAAGGTATGTATAAATCTCAAGAGTCTTTAATTGGGTATATGGACTGATAAAGGCAGATCGCATTCACTGCATTTATCCATTCCGGCCAAGTCTGCGCCGCCATCAAGCGTATCTTTGTACACGAATCTATTCACGAGAAGTTCCGTGATGCGCTCGTGGAAGCCGTTAAGCAGTTTAAGGTCGGGCCCGGCGACGAAGAAGGCGTTACTCATGGCCCTATTCAAAACATGATGCAGTTCAACAAGGTAAAGAACCTATTTGCCGATATCGAAAAGGAGAAATGGACCGTTGCCACTGGTGGCCGAAGTGACCTTGGCCGACCAGGCTACTTCGTCGAGCCTACTATCATCGATAGGCCCCCAATTGACTCACGTATCGTTACCGAGGAGCCATTTGGTGAGTATACTATACCATAATGTCCCACTCGGCAGGCCAACTAACTCACTACTTTTGCAGGACCAATCGTCCCAATTGTAACCTGGAATGATGAGGCAAGCGTCATCAAGGAAGCTAACAACACTAAGATGGGTCTCGGTGCTTCTGTCTGGTCAAGGGATATAGAACGTGCCCAGCGTATTGCCGACCAGCTCGAAGCCGGCTGCGTGTGGGTCAACAACCACGCCGAACTGAGCAACAACACTTCGTTTGGTGGACACAAGGAGAGCGGTATTGGATATGAAGGAGGATTAGGTGGCATGATGGGATACTGCAATGCTCAGTCTGTCCACATCACTAAGAAATAGAGCAATCCCAAGCAGGATTTATCTTCCTGTCTCAGCTCATGATGCTTTGGATAATACGTAAATCAAGCATTTGAAGGGAAATTTGAGACCAAGTGTTCAACCAAATTATATTGCTCTGTAGGTAAATATGCAATACTGTAAATTAAAGTCTCACAGTGATATCAAATTAAGGAAAAAGTAAAGACAAATGTGGTATTAAACGTCAACGCTTGCAGGAAAAAAACAAACCACAGCTGCAGTTCACAATTAAACCAAGCAAACGGCCATTCATCTGACAAACATGTCGCGTAAGAAAAAGCAAGAAACCAGCACCAAATATTAGGATAATACATTCACGGGGCTAGAAACCAATACTCATACCACTGGGTTTTCCCTGGTCTAGCAACATCTTACTCTGAGTTCCCTTCTTGGTCGATAGGATGCCAAATCTCAACACCACCTCGGATAGGGTAACAATGATGGAAATGAAAATCAGAATGATGATAATCCATGTCTGGCTAGACACTTTATTATCGGCGATAGAATCAGAGAGGATTTCAATAAGATCGAGGAAAACTTTGCATCGTTCATTGAGAACTTGAATGCGAGGTTTTATCTCTAGGTATTCGCGAACAGCGATGTACAGGGGGTGAAGCATCGGTTCGCTATCCCAGAAGAAATTGGGCACATCGAGCATGTTCGAAGCTAGAGGAGTTTCATTAGTATAAATCCGTACATGGAGAGAGTGATAAGGGCATACTTACAGAGGTTGACTTCAACACGCGATTTGAATAACCTGCCCATGATACGGAAGACTTCTTCTCTGCCCATGCCTAGATGGCCTGTCAAAGCTAACCGTCTCGGTACATCCTTTGCATCTGCCATCTGTCGCGCCATGCCCTCCTCAAAGAAACTGAGCTTTGTACTTTGTGCTATGCCATGGCTAATAGCCAGCTTAATCATATGATCCCCTGACCGTAATGTAATCATATCATTATACACCCGGGGTCTAGAGATAGCGGAAGAGTATTCAAAGTGGAACTCTTCCGTTTCGAAATCTTCTTCCGCCAGAGGGTTAAGTGGTAGGTCATTTGGTGCAGGGCAAAATGCAAGATCTGCGAGTATTTCCTTCTCCTGACGCTCCGTGAAATTCCAAAAGACGACAACTCCATAGCTGAATATGAACATTTCTGCAAAGGAGAGGGCGTTGGGAGGTATTGAGGGTCTAGATTGTCTGGTAGAGACCGGAGAGGTAGGTTGTCGGATGTCACCGTTTTGAGTTGAGGGCTGGTCATCGTGATGTTCAACATGGAATGAATGGCCACGGACTGATGTATCTCTTTCTTCCTGGCGTCGTCCATTACTTCGCCCTGCTCCAACTTCGTGATCGTGTGTATGGTCGCGCTCATGGCCATCCTCCTCCTCCCGGTCCCGTTCTTGTTCACGGCGGCGCTCACGTCTCTCTTGCTCCTCTGAATTTCGAACAGAATGTTCCTCTGTCTCTGTAAAGTATTCATCGTGGTAATCCCTTCTCTCGTTTCTTGCAATCTCTTCGTCTAGAACTACTTTGCCCTCTGCGCTTCGGAAGATAGGGCTACTTCTCACCCTATACCCGTCTCGACCAGGTAATAAGGGTAGATGGTATGCGGCGTATAAGCAGTCATCATACAGCTTTGTGCGCGCATCGTGGAGTTCTTTGACAAAGCTTGCCGCAGCACCCATCTTATACGCCTGAGCAGTGCAATATGCCGTTACGCGAGGCAACTTCTTCCCTCTTCGAGCCTTGGGTAGACGCTCAGCATAACTCTTCCCTTTCTCAGGACTGGCCGCGAATCTGCGTTTTCGAATAGCCTCTTCGTCATCAAGGAGCGGCGCAGCCATATTATCCTGTATGAAATCCGGCTGCTTCGCGCGGGCAGCAGTTAAGCGTCGTAACCGTTCATATCTCTCGTTTATCTTCGAAGGCGTGCCTTCGTCATCCGCAACTTCATCATCCTCATCCTCTTCCTCCTCTTCTGGTTCTTGCTCGTCCTCGTCTTCCTCTTCCTCCACCGTCTCTGGAAGAAGAACTAGCTTCTCGCTGACTTTTGATGAACGAGGTGGTATTTGTGGCAAAGAGGCCAACCGGCCTCCGCTTCGGTGTCTGCTATCCATACTTGAACTCAGAGCGTTGCTAGCGGCGTTCAGACCAGATCTTAACCTGCTCTCTGATCCTGAGCCAGACCGTGAGCGTACAGCAGAGCTTGTTCCAACAGTTGGGCCTCGCTGGCCGAGCTGTCCACGTTGCTGCATTGAGGGCATGTCTGAGGCGTACTGGAGGACATTATCGACGGTTATGAGGCGGGAACCGGGCGGGCCCGCAATAGGAATGTCGTTTGCGCTACTACTATTCGGCGTCCGTGAGGCCGGGTAGTACCTTGTTTGACGGTCTCTAGAGTCGGTTACCTGGAGAAGGTGTCAGTTTGCTGATCGTTGAGGAAAGTTGCTTGCTGGGTAGCATACTAAGACGGTGGGATTTCGTTTGCTAGTCCCTGGGCCCTTGGGGGCCATCGTTAGGGTGTTTATAGCTAATTGGGTATGCGCTTCTCCTCCGAACAAGTCGCTAAGCTGGTATCTGTCTGATCTTCGTCGCCGTGAAACCGAAGTGTATGACGCAAACGGCGTATACAAAACATGCAAGGGAGAGACAGCAAGTTTATGTATAGTAACGATTGCTTAGTAAGTGTCACGTGCTCAGGCTTTATGATGGCTTATGTAATATAAATGGGCGCCTCAATTGAGGCGACTATTTTGATAGATTGATAGATTGATTGAGGCATTTACTGTTATATCTATGAGGCTTTTCCGCTTGTTCGAACATTATTTACGCTCTTAATAATATTACATATATTGTACATAAATCTAGGAGTGAAATTGCTAGAGATGTCATTCTATCCAGAGGTATGACGCTATTCATTGTCCTGATATGGCCACAACTTAGAGAAGAGCTCCCTTTCCTGTTCATCCCTCGCAGTTCCGATGAATATATCTTTGAACTTCTGGCAATTAGCCTTTGCAGTGTCATAGTCCTCTATGTCTACCATCCCATCATCAGGAAGAACCCCCTGGTCACGAAAGAGTTTTAGCATACTCCCAACACCAGAGATATTTTCATCTTCCTTCATATGAAGATCTAACTCTTCTCTTTTGAAAGAGATTGGAGACTCAACTGTCTCATCTGGCCGTAGCTTATCCCATAGAGCTTCGATGGCAATCAAGCTTTGACGCAGGAAGAATAGGTCACGATTCTCCCAGACCCCGGTGACGAGACTGGTAGGGCTTCGTTTGCGCTGTATAGATCTCATGTCTTTCAACACTTCCCAGTGGTGGGGGGAATGCTTGTACACCATTGCCTCGTAATATTTGTGGACAGTTTCCTTTTCAAGGTCCCGGTCAAGCTGGCTTTGTTCCTCCGGCGTTAAAGTGTCAAAGTTTTCCGGACGTGATGGGACAATCCATCCCTCACGAACGGGGCCATCATGTCTGAACATGCGAGGTATGCAGGATTGGTAGAAGAGAGGTGCTATGCTCGCACCCTGCCAGTCGACTATGCCTGTGATTTTACAAGTCGTTGGATCAACGAAGACGTTGTCCAGATGCAGATCTGGATGCCAGAGGATGTTTGCACATGAGGCTGGGTCACGGGGTATAAGGTAAGGTGCGGCATCCAAGTATTTAGACAGAAGGTCAAGAGCATGACCAGGTAACTCTGGGTCTTTTAGAGAGATATAAGCGTTTATTCGGGGAGAAGCATGCCGTTTTATCCAAGCAATTTCATTCTCCCCCATAGCTCTTGCATAGTCTTCTGGCCGTTGCCCTGTGTCAAGTTGTTAACGAGCGCTTGATCGTAGGAGTGAAACGGTAACCCACAAGGACCTCTATCCAACTCCATGTTCTCACGCTCTGCACTCCAAAGCTCCGCCCCCGTAAGTGGGCCGATAACATATCGATCTAGAACCCCCGGACCCACAGAAGAGTCGGAGCCAAGTAGCAAGCCTCCATCCTCTCCACGGAATGGGTCCGGCAGGTCAGCCCTGAAATATAGACAGCCATGCTTCGAGAACTTGAAACAAGTCAGGGTATTCTCCAACTTGGCAATCTGTTCTATGATACGTAACTTCGGCTCCCGCGGCCACTCATGCCATACTCTACCTAACCTGATCCCACTGGCCTTTTGCTCAATGATATATTCCGCCCCAACAGGGTTGGCTGGATCCGCTGACCATGCAAGAACCCTCGGAACAGGCAGGTTGGCTATATCACGCAGCTATGAAAAGGCACAATCAGATTCACAAGACCAGCAAAATCTGATATGAAACTAATGAGGAACAAGAAACCAACAAACTCCCTCGTAGCCACTTCTGAGGCCGTGAGGTATCGCGAGGGCCCAGCATTGGGATTCGGCAGCTTGGCAAACACTTCCTCTCCGGTATCAAGAGTTAAGAGGAAGGCTTTATTATGAAGGCCTTCAGCGCACTTGAGTATTTTTGTGCCTGTTCGGGTAGGGTAGGGTAAGCCAGGGGAAAAAACATGTCAGCTTACACGCTGTTCCGCTCAAATGCATGTAAGCAAGGATATAATTGCTACATACAGCAGCGTGCATGATCGCCGACGGCATCGACAGCAACTTTAATTAGATTCTGGATATCGAATTGCCGATATCTCAATGCGAGTTCCTTGTCTTCGTTGAATCTAGAAAGGATCGAAACCGAGACCTGGTCAGATGCAGCCCAGTTTCCGGACAGAGGAAGATAGACGGACGAACAGCCATCGATGTCGGCGATATGCAAACATGTCGTGTTCTGTGGCTGGAACTTCTACCAGGAAAATTAGAATAGCTGCTAGATGTGGGTGGGATAATGCTGGAACTCGGCAGTCTATCCTTGAGACATGCATGTGTATGATGACATACCGGTACCATCCGGCTTCTCCAGGAACAGCTGAGGATGAGGTTGAGAAAAGAATCTCATCCCTCGCAGACGAACTGGAGATATGGTTCTGAGTAGGGCAATGTCATGGCTATTCTTCCACCGCATGTCTTCAGCATCAGCATCAACATTGGTATCTACCTCCGCTTCCACTTTTGACATCCAAGTCGTTGCATTTTTGACTCGCTCACTTTTATCGCAAAGTCAAATTTAAAACCTGCTTATTAATGATCACATGACATGAATAGGTATCTGTCACGTGAAGATTATCTATCATGTGACTTTCTTCATTAATCTTACATCAGCAGCACATCACCCGCGTTCTTCCACTCCGTCTTCCCTTCACCCTTCACGCCCCTTCAGCCCTCGTAGACCAGTCTCTGCTTACTCCTGCCACTCTCCTCGTCATCCTTCTCGTTATATTTCTTCGTCACCCGTAGACAATCTTCCACTACCTCGAGAACATCCCCCCAATCGAGGCACAATACCTATCTCCGCGTATCGTGCGTATCGGCGTGACGAAAAAGACCGGAACGCGGGTCCCGGCCGCCCGGTCCCGCCTCGTGGCACGTGGGGTAACCTTATTCCCTGCCCTTCGCCACGACGAATAACACAAGCAGCGACAGCGACAGACAGGACAGCCATGATATCAGGCGTGGAACAGGCGAAGGCATGTGGTAGATGAGAAAGCGGGAGGGGCGGGTAGGTTAGGCAAGTATGTAGGTAGGGGAACAGGTGATGCTTCATCGGCGCTGCTCGGCACACGCTGAATTAAGTTGCGACTAGTTCAGATCAGACATTATCACCTGTGCTATTAATATGGGATCGGGGGATAAAAAGTGAGTCAGGCAGAGTTACATTGAGGGCCTCGCTGGGCGGTACAGCGAGAGGGGGAGGGAGGGAAGGGGGGAAATGGGAAAGGGAAAAGGGTTGCGTCGGCGTGGCACGATGTACGATGGGCTGTTGAACCGTGGACGGTATACGATGAACTAAGTATAGGGACGAAGTATGGCCTGTACGATGGGCCGAAGCGAGGAACGAACGAGCGAACGGAAGTTTAGTTGAGATGTAACTTAGTTGGGGTCGTGCATGGTGATGTGGTTGTGTGATGGTAGGGTTTAGTCTTTGTTCCTGGTTCCTAAACTAGCTGCGTGGAAAAAAAGTAAAGCAACGATGAGCGGATGGATGGATGGATGGATGAATTTATTCCCAAATAGACGGATAGGCGATACATGAAAAAAAAACAGAAGGGAAAGTGAACAAGCACACAGACACGCAGGCAGATCATGCTGAATGGTAATGGCAATGAAAGTGAAATATGGTAGAACATGAGATAGGAAAATGGTGAAGAAAAAGGAAGGGTTTTTAGAAGGGAAAGAAAAAAAAGAGTCAACTACGATGACATGCGTAACCTCCGATCCTCGTCCCAGATCTCCTGCTTCATTTTCTGCAGATGAGCATGCTGTCTCTCCAGTTTGCGAATCTGCTCGATATCAATGTCATAGTCCATTCCGTTTCGTGAGCGGGCCATCATCTCCTCGTGCAAAAGCCGGTATTTGGCATAGTACTGTTTGAACTGGGCTGATTTGGTGCGTAGCCGGGCACGCAAGATGGTCTGTGAGATGGGGGGAGATGCAGAGCCGGAACCTGAGCCTGAGCCAGAGTGCATTGATTCAGGCTGGGAGAGGGAA